TGAATGATTATTGTAAATGATTATTCACACACTATCAAAACAGTAATACTGTTTTGATAGGAACATGACAGAGACCTGCGGTTTTCACCGTTCGAAAGAGGACACTTGGAGGCATAATTCTCATGTAAAAGCGTTATTCGCGCGGCCCAGACAAGAAAGTTTCTATGAGAAGATATAAAATTCTCTTGCAGAGAACATAATATCTGCTAGATTCTTTGTATAATTCTCACTGAAAACAGGATTATTCTCCTGTCAATGCATTATTCTGTTGACCTGGACAAGACAGTTTCTACGAAGAGAAACAAAATTATCATGGAGTAGTCATTTTTCTCGTTGGAGTAGCATAATATCGGTTTCTTGATTTCTCTCCCACCCCTCACTTTTAAAGCTGGCGTGTTGGCCGATCTGATGGTGTGTGAATCATCGATATAGCCAGCCCTTCACCCAAAAAACTAGATAGGTTTACAAAATGAGTCATACCCAGTTGACAGCCGTGGGTACGGCCGTTCATGGCGGACGAGTGTTTACCTCTGAAATATACTGAAAACCTTTTTCTAAATCAGTTTTCAATGCTGATTCAGAAAAATATCGAACCTTCCATCTTGCAATACAAACTAAAAAAGTCAATTTCATCATATAGGACGGTTTTTTGTATTTTTGAGGTTTTCTTAGTAATTTGAGTTTTTCTCCATGAAGAAATAGCTTTTGGAGGCTCGGAAGGTGTTATTCGTAACCAGCTCGTTAAGCTGAACCTGAATATGTATAATAAAGTGAAAAATAAATTCCACTGTAAGTTTGCATTACGTGCATCTTAAAACATAAATTATGTTGAATAAATAATATGTTAGTATAATAATTGATAAACAACAATGTTTTGTTTTTACTGTAAAAAAAGAAGTGTTTCTGATGTTTTATCGTCATGCATCTCGAATCATTTCAGCATAGGCCTTCATACTAGTGACTGAGTGATTGTAAGTTTTTGGTATATTAGAACAGGGTTTTTTGCCCTTCTTGTGATAATCACATAATTCCTGTTGATAGTGGTAAAATATGTATTCTCGAACTCTATTTTGAGGATTTGCATTTGGTTCAGATATCGGTTGTTTCCATTCAGTATAAAATTGTGAAAAGTTTGAATATGGATAATAAACCTCATCAACAATAAAATAAGGTTGTGGAAATGCTGCAACATTTTGTGAGCATGATTCATGTAGCAATTCTAAATTATGGATCCATTCATTTCCACTTAATCCACTTGGTTGATGATCACAATCATGTCGTTCACCTTTTAAAACCATATGGCCATAAGAACGTTTACACGGTGCACCACATTCTGGACATGGTATACTACAACGTAATTTGACAGCATTACTATCATTATTAGTAATTATAAGATTTCGAATCAATTCAACCATTAATGTTACTTCATCATCTGAAAATGTTAAGTCTTCTTTCGAAGATAAATGTGTTAACATATTTTTAAGAATATTGTCCCATCCTTCAACTGTTTCTTTATCACATGCAGTATAATCTGTTACATTTAATGCTGATAATGGATCCGTAAACGTTAATGGTAAATATTCTTTTAATTTAGAGAAAAAAAACTCTGTGCTCCCTTGACGAATTTCATCCGGATCTGTACATAATGGAGCTTCAAATGCTTTTGTTTCTGCTACTGCTGTACTTAATTCACGTTTTATTTTGTCATCATATAATACCCGTTGTCCTTTAAAACATTTATCAAGTTTACTTTTAATTAACTTGTTAACAATTAATCCATAATGACTGCTACAGTTTGTTACTCTTTCTATCATTTCAGTAATTTTTCTTTTTTCGATAAGTTCCAGTAATTCTAAATCAGCATATGCTAATAAGACAACACTATTGGATACCCAACTTTCTGGCTGTAAATCATTGGCAATATATTTACATAACGAAGTTTTATATCCTACTTTCCACCATTTATTTAAAACTGTTGCCAGTTCGCTACTTAATAATTCAGCACCAACAATACCTGAAAAATACAAAAAAAATCATAATACCTAATTATCATGAAGATTCGATTGAAATAGAGTAAACGTTCTTAATCACGATACTGTCTCGGTAAAAAAGATGTTAGTTGTGCACGTTTGTCAACTTGATTCTGCACTGTTTAAAATGTGAGAGAGGCTGCATAGAGCTTCGAGACTTTTTGCAATTATACTGCAAAAACTTTCAGAATCTGTAGGAATGATAGTACATGACACATTTGAAAATGTAGCATATGTCAGAAGTACGTTATAATACAGTGCATTTTTCTAATATGCTAACTAAATAAAATGTCAGGCTCTGTCCATCGGTCTTAGTTTTATTCCTATTCATTGTTTTCTCTAGTCAACTGTAAGTGAATTTTGAAATGAATTTCTCGAAAAATAGAAAAACTTTCCTGTGGTCTGACAACAAACCTCTCTCTTTGATAGGTTTTTTTGTTTTTTCTACTGTTTTATACCTTGATCAGTATTTTTATAAAATTTCCATAAATCTGCTTTTGCATTTTTCAATCGAACTGTAATAGAATTTTGACTTTCCCATTTATGTTGAATTCGTGTTAATTTTTCTATTAATAATTGATAAACTAATTGATGTGCTCGATTTATAAGTGTATCTTGTACATAATGACTTGTATCTATATGATTTTGTGTTTTTAAAATAGCTTGTTGTGTTATATCATCATCATAACATGTTATAGATTGTAATAAATTTTCAATTTCTGAACATAAATTTCTTAAAAATTGTTCTTCATCAACTGTTGATTTTCGTTTTTTATCTTTTCTATTTGGCCAAATATACTTCATAAATCGATCAAAATAGGACTCATTATTATCTTTTGATATTAATTGAATATTTGTTGAAGTAACTTGATGAAATTGCCAAACACGCTTATTTTGACTATATACTTCTGTTATTGATTTTTCAACATTTATTTGTGGATGACTTTGTTCGGTCTCATGAATTATTTTCTTATAAATTGTATTAAATTCTGATTTTTTTTCTTCTTCAGTCTTTAATATATGTTTGTTTTCTTTAGTTTTATCTTGAAATAATTTTGTTATATCTGCACGTATTTGTTTTTGACAAGAAATTAATTTACTATCATATGTTAACCGATTAGTAATTAATTCACGAATACGTGAATCATATATCTCTAATCGTGTAGTAGTAAATGTTTTCCAATTTTGTTTGCTATGATCGTGCCATTGCTGATAATGCTAAAACAAACAAACAATCAATATAATAAAATAATAAAATAATAGAAAAAGCAAACAGATTTTTTTGTTCATGTATTTGATTTTTTCTAACAGAGTAAAGTTTCTCTAGATCTTCAGTTCAATCAATCGGTGGGATTAGTAGTGAGCCGTAACAGATGTCTCGTAAGTAACAACAGCTCATGAAAGATTAAAGAAGTCGTCGTAAGAGATTTGACCATGAACACACTAGGAAATATCACACTCTTCCAGAAAAAGCTTCTTGGGATAGACTAACATTCTATAGGTGACACCCTTCCTTCTAGATTCTTTATCGAGGTTTACTTGAATTCTATAAGTGCGAATGTCTTGGTTAAACAGTAAAAGGAGGCTTGGAAGTACCATAGTCGTCCAAATATCCCCCAAGTGGAAACAAAGGAGAACACACACGCACAGGGAAATCAAAACAAAAGTGGAAAGTAAGCTTATTTCTAAGCTCGGAAAGTTTCTGCAGCAATCTTTGACTGAGCAACCGGGAGTATATTACGTACATAAGTATTTGCCCCTCTTTACTCTCGATGCCTGCATTAAACTTTTTACATTTTCTGTCACATAAATTTCATCCCTCGTATTGATTATAAATACGAAGAATTTCATAAAATCACGTTCAGAAACCTGTTTTAACATAGTGTACTGGTCTTGGGAAGATACGGGATCATTCCTTGAGACTCCATATACCTCTGTATATGGCTACTCATATATTTGTAGTCCAAATCGTCCCTTACTTAGTATTGCTCTAACCATACCAAAAATCATTCGATTTCCCTGAAGGTATCAAGCTCATCAAAATACGAAAGTGATTTATTGGTTTGGAAATTCCGTAGCAGACTATATGCAATATATAATATATTTCAGGTCAAAAAGTTCGAAAATATCGAGGAAGAATTTAGTTTGTTATACGTCCGCTTCTTTGATTCAACCTATAGGTGGATCTCAGAAAACCATTGTTACAGGTCTCACGGTCTTTACATGTTCTCTATATGTACAAGTCATCCTTCTTTTCTTCATCTTTTCGCTATACGGCCTGTCCAGCTAACTCTGCTACCGGAAGGGTGAGTGCGTTACCGTTTTCATACTTTTTGTTCTTCTTATAACTTTTGAATGATTCGTCGTGCAAACGTGGCGGACATCTTATTTTGTACATCAAACTGTACCCTACCAAAAACCTATGTAACTTTGTGATGAAAACATTGTTTTTATCCATTATAAAAGAAGTACGCAAAGCCCTAATAAACATTTTATAATTCGTTGGGGCTTTTGGTACGTCTTTTATAATGGATACAAACAATGTTTTCATCACAAAGTTACATAGGTTTTTGGCAGGGCACAGTTTGATGTACAAAATAAGATGTCCGCCACGTCTGCACGACGAATCATTCAAAAGTTATAAGAAGAACAAAAAGTATGAAAACGGTAACGCACTCACCCTTCTGGTAGCAGAGTTAGCTGGACAGGCCGTATATCGGTTCCTTATCAAGTTCATCTATTTCGTTTTCATTCTTTTCCTTTGTGATCTCTTTTTCGTCCCTCTAGTACATACCGGGTAATCCAAACGTTTTGCAACATTCTTTATTTGGCATATATCTCAGTCCAGAAAGATGGTGAACTTTAATTTCTGTTTTAGGAGATGTGTCATTTAATTCTCTACAAAAAGTATATTGAACATTTTTCTATGTATCTTAAAAAATAAGAGAATATGAAGGAAATATGGCGAATATGCAATCTCGACTACTTCCTAGGCCAAAAAACACCGAGAAACAAATTTATTTTGAGCACGGTGAAATACATGAAAGTGGAATAGAATATATGTTCTGGTGTTCCTAGTGTCGTTTTTCTTTTCGTATCACAGGTTCGCTTTAAACCTGTTTTTATTGAATAAAAAGCGATTTTATCAAACCTCATCCTAAACACGAGAAAATTTGACTTTTTCGTCTTCGCCCCGTACAAATAGCCGATCTATAGAACTTTTTCCGTTCGGATGTTAAAGCAGGATTATTTTCCTTCAAAGTAAAGCAAATCCAATCTTTAAATGTTTGATTCTGGCTGAGTTACGAAGCTTTTCCTAACGACGTAAGTGGCCTCAAACTGTAGTTTGAAATTGATGATTTCGGGGAAAATCGATAAAAGACAAAAAAATCTCTCTCTCACACTCTTGTGTGTGTGAAGAATTTTAAATATAGTAGTTTGGTAGAGCATTTCAATGGCTACAAAATGGCTGCCTTCTGTATTATTATATTGCATAACATAAAGGACCAAAACTGTTTTTTGGCCTAGGAAGTAGTCGAGATTGCATATTCGCCATATTTCCTTCATATTTTCTTATTTTTTAAGATATATATATGTCGTATTGAAGTTAGCATGTTTATCAAAGTTGTAACTTCAATGAACTTTTTCATCAACGTTACAACTTCTGTATAGTACTGGTCAAACTTATATCGATAGGCTTAGTGAACTGATTATTAGAAAGTTTGAAACCTGATTTCGATTCGATGAATCAATTGTGTGCGCTTTTCAAAATTTATTGATGTAATATATAAATGATACGTCATTTAATTCACTACAAAAAGTATATTGAACATTTTTCTATGGACTTTGTGCTTGTAGTAATGTGTGGCAGTATGTCCCCGTAGTCAGTTACTCTTTCTTACTATTATAAACTACAATCGTTGATAAAGTTTTATAAGTTCCGTATGTTGCTTAAGCAGAAAAGTAGAATAGAGGCTTAAATGGTCTAATGTGTTTTACAGAACAAATATTTTTCCTCCTCGCTTAATGTTATCCGACTAAATTGAAGTTTTACCAGAGGACATAATACTAGATTTCAGATAGTACTTTTTTTGTTTTCAAAAATTTTGTTTGCTTTCAAAGTCATATCACGATCTTTGATTTAAACAACAGTTTTTCAGCAATTTCCCCGTAATTGTGCTGCGAAAAATGTCTGGAAATGAATAAAAGACATGAGATAGGCTTCTATAGAAGTCCTTACACCTGTGTTAAAAGTTTTGTTTTTATAGAATACACAATTTATAGTCAGCCAAACCTTTGATAAAATTATACTCACGGAATACTTACGTTCTTTTTTAATTCTTCGAGCACTTCTTGGTTAATTTTTTCGGTTATTTCGTTAGAATCTCTTTTTAATTTCGCTTTGTATTTTGCTATTTCGCTTTTACATTTATCAGTTTGATCGGGTGACGACAATGATAATTCTTTACCTATTTCTTCTGCAATTTCCTCATAGATTGTTGAATATAAATTAGCGACTATTGACCGTTGTTTAGCTAAATACATATCTAATTCTTCATATAAGCGACGTTCCATTACCGTTTTAAATGTTAAACCAAAATCAGCTGATAGTATACATGACCATATTAACTCTAGATAATCAGTAAAATGTTTCAGTTCTCTTGCTTCCCATTGACCATCAGCAGTTTCTGTTACGAGGCGTTGATATATATAGTCATTTAGTTCAATAACAGATTGACCAAATTCTGTATTTGGTAAATCATCTGGTGGTGTATCACCCATTTTTAATTTACCTAAAAATTTTATATCACTTCTTGCATCACCAATTTCACTATTTGGATCATTAGGATCTTTACTGCGAAAATCACGAAAACCTATGCTATCTCCATTAGTTTTATTATCGTTGTTGTTTTTCTGATGTGTTAATTTTTCTAAATTATCTTTCAAATCAATAAACATTCTTTGTATAGGTGTTACTAATTTTTTCGTATCATTTGTGTCAACACGTACATAAACAAAAAATATACGTGTACTTAATCGATTATTATGACCACTTGTTGATGTAGCTAATTCACTTTGTTGATGTGTTAGCATTACTATTGGCAATACTTCGCGCGCTGCACTATCATCTTCACTATTAACACAAATAATTGTTACATCAGCTGGTAATATAGCAAATGTTGCTATTCTGTTGTCTCTCCATGATGAATCTTGTAATCCAGCATATTCGGGTGCTCGTATACCTGAATATTCGAAAATGGAAGCATTACTTTACCTGCATATGTCAAGCAAATCGCTATTCAGCAGAATTTTATCGCTGGGTAATTGGAGAGTATTGCGGTCATTCTGTCCTGTGTGCAAAACTGTAACAAAGAGTCTTGAAGACTTGGAGTTTCTAGATAACAAGTCTCAGATAAATGAAAGTACATACTTTTTTGCTGGAGAATCGTATATAACTTTTAGATTCAATTTTTGAAAAAATCTGATTTTTCACCCTCCAATACTGACTTGATATAAAAATCATCTGCGATCCTCTTTTTCAAACCGAAAAACTCCTGGAGATGTGGTCTACAGCAAATACCTGCCGGGATGGCTCCTTATTTCAATATTATTCTTTTGAGCTGAATTCTTGTCTTTTTGTAGAATCTGTACTATGTTTTATTCGAAAACGTAAACTTAGCGGTGATGTCAAAAAAATACTCTGGACAATCGCAATGTTTCTAACTTCAAAAATCGCGTATTAGCCAGATTTTTTTAGTTCTAATCAAGTACGATATGTCATAATACAGCTCTTGAAAAGCACGATCGACTGCGTATAACAAGGATTCATTTGCAACATAACTTAATGTTTAATACTTTTTTGTCTAAACAAGCCATTCTCGAAACTGGTGATTTTGCTGTAGCACATTCTTCTGGCTTTTGATATAGATCCTCTTTAGGCTTGACCTATAGCACTTTTACTCACAGGCCGCGGTTCGATAACGTGCTTAGCCACGGACTTAGTTTCGTCACAAAAAGATGGCCACTATGAACTGATCAGCTCTTAGTTGATGTACCCGATTACCAGTGGGCTGCTACCATACTATTCTGACTTTGATTCTTCAATCGATGGACTTCTACACCTCTAGATACCTCCTCTCTGGATTTATCAACTCAGCAAAGAAAGGGTTACGAACTTTTGTAGACCTTAGGTCCACGGTAATAATCCTAGTGTTACTCCCTGTTAAATAGCAAAGCTGTAATGCTTCGTGCAACTCCGTTATTCTCTTTCCCATCATGGTGTCAGAAATCACATTTTGGTTTAACATAACAACGTTACCTTCAGTGTCTAATACTAATATGTAATCGTATTTTTCTTTACGATTTTCGACTCTTATCAGCTGCATATTCACACCACGAGTACATTGTCCAGCACTTGTTCGTAGTCGAGTACCGAACATTAAGTTCAATAATGTTGATTTCCCACTACTTTGGCAACCTAGACATGAATTGAAACATGGTCATATTCTTACAAAAAATGGTGAAATGTGATGCAGTACTAACCTATAATACTTAATACACAAATACGAATTGGTTTTTCTGCTGTGCTATTTGAATCTGCTTGTTTGCGCAGTTCTTCAAGGCGTTTTTGTACATGTCCAAATACAGCTTTAATCCATACTGGTTCTAACATTCCAGCATCACCATCTAATAATTCTAATGTAAATCCATCAATTAAATGTTGAGCAGCCAATAGTGGTAACGTTGCATATTTTATAGTATTAGTTGCATATAAATGACATAGTTCCCTCCATAAATGTTCAATTCCTACAATACTGCTGGAATATATCCGCTTAGCATCGAAATACGCATGTTTTTTTTCCTCATTCTTTTGATCTTTATCATAAATATTAAATGCCAAGTCTTTTTGTTGTATAATTTTTGTCATAGCATCTTTGGAATACTTTTCCATTCCTGTTATTAACTGATGTATGCCTAACATTCTTGTAGAATCGTCCGGATGTGATAAAATACCAATAAAACATTGTATTAGTAAATGAGTTTCAGTTGAAGAAGCTTCAATTATACGATTTTGTCTGCATTTTTTAATTTCATAATCTATTGCTTGTTGTTCTGCAGCTTTATTTCTAGCCTTATAATAAAGAGTGACATTTTCAGCTTCTAAAGCAAATATTTTTTGTAATTTTAATTCTTCACGGCGTAATATAGCATAATTTTGAGATTTTACAACAGTTTCAACATTAATTAAGTCAATAGAATTACGTTTATATAATTCAGCGTTATTTATTGAATACAATTCTTTCCGAGATTTACCTTGATATTTAATATGCGCACCCGATAATAATTCTCTTATGTCTTGAACAGTCTGATTAACACTACCATAAAAATGAAAATTATTCTCATCGATTTCTTCGTAACCAAACTGAGCTAATGACACTTTCCATGTAATTAACGCGCAATCATCATGTAGTGGTAGAATCGGTTGAAAGCGAACATCATGAGTAGGATCTTCTTCTACCATTATTATATCAGCAAAATTGCGAATAAATGGCCATAATGATTTATAATCACCAATTACATGTAACAATAATACAGCTTGATTTTTTTCATCTTTGTACACTTTAGTATCATTCTGATTATGGCCGATGTTTGGAATAAAACCTACACCAATTTCACCGATGCATTGATCATTGATAATACAATTAATCGCTGATAAAGACAATAGAGAAATTGAATAACATGAGAATATTTGTTTCATCCATTCACTACTTTCACTATGTTGTATAGATCTCATTGAAATAATAGCTATACGTATTAATGAACAATCATAAGCCAGATTAAAATCACGTTGTTGAGCTAATTTTGTATTAACAAAAGATAATGCATCAATATTGTATTGAAACGGTAATTCGTCTGTTAAAAATAATCTGTCTAGATTTGGTACTAGTATGGGTACAGCAGAACGACGTTCAATTATTAAACGAAATAATTCAATCTGACTCGATATATCCGAATGATTAACCAAATGAATCAATGTATTATAGACAGAATATGATGATGGAATCGTTGCATAACTTGCTTGCTTCTCCTTCGATTTAGTCCATGTTGAAGAAAGGCCGCCACTTCGTTGTGTTGTTGCCTCTATAGATCGTGATTCCGTTATTAATGATGATGTAATTTTGAGTCTGTGACGTAACTCATCCATAAACCTTACTATGGGTGTGTTTGTAGTAGGTAATGGACGATCAACCAACCAATCAGTATAGTGATATTTAATAATATAGTCGTTTTTAGTAATATTACTAAAAGAAACAGAAGGAGTAATTGAGTCGGGTATCCCCACTGGTGTTTGTAACGGACCTGTATTCTTCTTTGTTAGAATAATATTCATGTTATCAAACAAAGTTTCCAAACCTTGTTGGCTTAATTCCATAACAAATGCATCATGACTATGTAACCATCCATATTTTTGTAGTAGATTTTTCGTTTGTTGCACATGTAATAGACCAATGTCTTGCAATCCTCCTTTGTCAGCTAATTCAGTACTGTTTTCTAAACTTTTGCTAATAAGAGCAGTGACATGCAAATTGAAATCGCCAAGTTTGAATATATCATTCGTAATTTGCTCTTCCATTAATGATTTAAGAAAGGATGGAAGCTGTTGTAATGGAATAGTTGATGTATTAAATAAACTATTGAATTGTATTTGATTACCTACTTCAAATTTTGTTTTACCATCATTTGCATTTATACCTTTTAGTATTAATGTATCAATTTCTGGATGTAGCTGTAAATGGTATTCACTTTTAAATTGTTGTAATTTTTCTTTGGTAAATATTGTTGCCAATAATGATGAAACGTGATTAATTTTAACTGAATCCGACAAACGAGCTAAAGCCATTAAGAAAGATGTTAGTGATGACTTAGGTTGGAGAAGTACAGGTAATAAAGAAGAACCATATTGTTCAGATTCATTAACAACTGTTCGAAATATCACACCAATATTACGTATCAGGGCACTTGTTGCCATTTTATTCAGATCAAGATTTTTTCCTAAAATTTCGCTTATAGCATCATCAATCATTGCTACTTTACCATCAAGATCTAGTCTTTTCATATCTCCTCCTTGTAATGGGGGAACAGTCCAATCTTCATCTTTTGGATTACAATCTTCATGAACTAATACACGTTGAATTTCTAATTGAATTATTGGTATATGAGCATTCTTTTTTGCTTGTCTCATCCATTCTTGTTTAATTTTCTCAGCCGCAGCAATCAATGTCGGTTCTGTATATGATCTTTCAACAATTATCCATATAGGAACGAATGTAGAGAGTTCGTTGCGATCAATTAAATACCATGTTGAATTATTAGCTTGTAAGGTTACTTTAAATAATTCAGAATTTTTGCATGCAGGGCCCCAACATTCAGTATCAGTTGATATTGTTGCTGTTCGTTCTATTTTTTCGGAGTTTGTTGTTGACCCCTTTACATTGAATGTTTCATGTGATACTGCAACGCTTACACTACATCCAAAACCTGAATAACCGGCTTTTGCAGATGCTTTCTGACTTTTAGATGCAATTTCTTGCAATTGTTCTAGATCGGTCTCTTCTTCTGTATGAACTGTAATTGTAGATCTAAATATACCACCAACTGTTTGTAAAGCATTGCTAATATGTGAATTAAACTTGCTTAAAAATTCTTTAGCTGTTGGTACGTTAGTAACACCCATTAACGCTTCTTCAGCTTCAATTGATAACTTCATTTCTTCAAGTGGAATTCGAAATGATTTCATTGGAACAAATGAATACTGAGTTAATATTAAATCTGTTGATTGTTTTTTGTTTTGTTTAGTATGATCTGTTGTTGTTGTTTCACTATTCGAATACGACGCTGACCCAGAAGCTCCCCATCCTGATGCGGAGACTTCAACAGCAAGGGTCCAACCACCTGTTTCTATTGTTTTTCGAAACTCATTCGAAGCATTTAAACTTGTGAATTTTCTTGTTTGATCTATGAATGTTTTCTTTGGATTTGTGAGCTCACAACATAGTGGACGCCGTAACATTGGTAGTGTTGCTTCTTTACCTAAGTGACTTAAATCAGTTAATTGTATTCCGTATAAGGCAGCTCCACCTCCAACATGGGCAATAATATCTTCATCACTTTTATCTGGTAAACAAGAAGCACTATTATATGTTTCTTGGACAATTTTTAAATCCTTTAATATTGTGTCTAATAATACGTCTGGATTTTTCAATTCATCTTCACTATACTTCCAGTTAACGTTTAGTTTTTGCGCTACACTATCTAATGATTGTTTTACTTGTGCTGTACTATGTGAAGCATTATCTTTTAATTTCGTACCTATTTCATTGACCGACTTAATAGCTTCATCTGTACGAATTTTTCTCTCTTGTAAATCATCATTCCGTTTTATATTTTCCGTTTTACCATTTTTACTTTCGATTTTATATAAATGATTTAATTTAGCTTTAAATTTCAAATCTTCGTCTCTAGCTAACCCTTTATCTTTGTTTGCCATTCTAGATGAATTTTCCTTTGTTTTTCTATGATTATCATTAATTAACGTGGCAACATGGTCTCGGCTAAGTTGATCTAATGCTCGAACACCTACAAATGTTTAAACTCAGTGGGCATTAAAAACATCCATGGTCAGAATGCGAAAATGATTCCAATACGCTTTTAGGAGTTGAATGCTTTCAAAACCAGTAAATGTTTGTACCACTACATTAATATTCATGAATATTATGCTGGTCAGCTGTTTTCCTTTAACAATTCATATTCTATGTAGCTTACACAGAGCGTTGACTATTGCAAAGTCGGGTTATCGATATAAATGATCATCCGGAACTCATTTTCATCTATGGTTTTCTGTGCAACCATTCTTTTATTGCGTACCATACCAATCTCATCAAAATTTTGTCCGTTAGTGCTCAGTTTTTATCACGGATGCTAAGAATCCATACTTTACGCATTTTTTATTTTAGCTCTCCAGGATCTTTTCTTTCGTAGGGACTGAAACTTATTTCTGGAAGGTTGAAAATCGAAATACAATTCTCCTTAACATTTTTATAAATACTCGGCATTACATCTTGAAGTGCTAAATCGAAAAATACGTGGGTGTATGTGTCCTCGGTACGCTTGAGTGAGCAAAGTTTTGATAAGATTGGTACGATATCCAACGCGACAACCTGGTTGTACAGAATACCAAACGTGAAAGTCAGTTCTAAGATTCGAGCAAAAAATTTATCCGTTTTATTTCTTGAAAACATGCGCTGATAAAATTCTAGCTCTCTTCGATCAGCCATTACGATTCTGTAGCAAGAGGGCAAAAGAGGTGAGGCATCCTTAGCGTCATTTAGGTACGTACGTAAAAGTATTTTTCACAAATAACGTACATTCTTAAGATGGCCTCTGAAGTACGGCACGACATCGGGAGTTTAACAGTTTGACTTAGTTCGAATCACTACTATCTGTCAGATGTTTCTATGATGGGAGGTTGTAGATAAGCGTATGCGGCATTTCGGCCTTTTCTAAAGGTGGTGTGATGTTGAGAATGTAACTATTCGCATCGTTCACATTTTCCTCCCCTATAAACTTTTGTTTCATGTTTCCTATATTCTATAAGGTAGAATTTTAAAATACCCTGAAATCTTCATGTTTTTTCAGGGTACTCCCGATTAAAGTTACATTCCGATTTCTGAGCAACTTCTGATCGCCAGTGTATAGATGTGCTACATCTGATCCCTGTTTGTATTTTCTGAGGCTACACTACTAGTACTACAACATGCAAATGCTATTTTATTGTCGTAGATGAAGGCTCCGAAAAAGATGAATGTCCAAACCGCATGTCTCGAAGCCCTGGGTTCATACTAAAACTTTGTAACTATACAGTAGAACAGATCTTGTATTCTGCACAAAGCGAAACGTTCTGGGACTTTCTATGATATGTTCTTACTGAGCAAGGCCAAGAAATCTAAACGTAATAGAAGCATTTCATTTGGGAAAGCATCTGTTAACGTTTAATAAAGCTACTTTGGAAAATATTATAAATCTATAACCGATCATCGTTCACGGCGTCAGAACGTCTCGCTTGTGCAGAATAAAATGATTTCCAGTGCAAGTACCAACGACGTACCCAGAACTAGGCCAAGGGTGGTCATGGCCCACCCCTTAGAAATATCGTTTTCTTCATGTCGCAGTAGAAAAATAATATTTTGATTGAAATCGAAATAAAACTATTACACAAGAACTTTTTGTGCTCTCTTCTTTGGCTAAAAAAACGGTTTGGCCCACCCCTTACTGGAATTCTGGGCACGTCGCTGACAAGTACTCTGTACTATAAGTCCAGTTGTACCCTCATAAAAAATCTAGAGGGAGAAAGTTTTACGTTGAGATCGTAATCCTATGTCGATGAGCTTTTTATGTACAGAAACAGTTATAAATCAAGTTTAAATACCTTTTTCTTCCAAATCTTTTGTTATTATCAAAGGTAAATTATATTTGTCCATAGCCATACGTAAATCGTTTCCATTCATCCATATTTTTTCCAAAATATTTCGTTGTGAACGAGTAGTTTTATCTCCATTGAAGCCACATTTGGACTGTAACTCATCATAGGATAAAAAACGAAACGATGCTAATGTTGGATATAATTTACATATTTTATCCAATAATTCTCCACCATTTATCCATCCGGGATCGTTTATTATTTCACCTCTTAATTCTAATTTTGATTTCATCTTTTGTACTATAATTGCCTCCAATTTAATATTATTTAACTGACTTGGATCAGAAACAATTTGAGCTAAACTGTTTAGATCGGTAATATAATTTGAGACCAGTGTTAATAATTGACTTTTTCCACCGATATCATTTAGGAATGTTAACAGATCATCATCTACAGCTTTTGGACACAGATTTGTAATATTTTGTATATCTGATGTTGATAAAGTTATCTGTTTATTAGACTGCAATTTAAAGATATAACAAATATTTGACGCCAGTTCACTGGCATCTAATCCTTCCTTGATCAAATCATGCCAATTGATCTAACAATAAGAACAGTTTTTTCTCGATTATTGATAGTTAGTTTTAGTTTCATCACAGGCTTAACCTATAACAAAACACCAAGTACAGCAACAGGTGGAATGAATCGTGGTGTAGTGTCAAAATTAGTACTATGATGTAAGTAGCGACAAAACGTTTTAACTAAGTTGTTTTAATAGCTTGTCTGTTATACATATTTATTTTTAATAGCTCGAACTTATACACGACGTTTTGTCTAAGTTATAGTTGTTATTACTAAGCAATACAAATACAAGTTCTTATACTATGTGCTTGTGCCAAGTGTCATACAAGCTGTTATAAAAAGTGTCATATCAGCTGTCTTATAAATTCTAGGTTTGGATTCGATTGTAATCTAGTTGATTTACATGTTATTTAAGGTATAATTATTTGAAATTACATAACGCATAGGCATGCAACGGTAACGGTTTACCGGTAAAACAGAACCCGGTTAGAAAAGCTTTCAATAAGTTTGAGTAAGTTCTTCTGAGTGGTCTTGTGACAAAAGCACAGAATACCTACGGTTACCGGTACAGAACTTTCTCTAACTGTCTTTTATCGGCTCATTTTTGTAACGGTTTACCGTTGTTCAC